GCCGCGGACCGCGCCGCCACGGTCGGTACCAACCTCGCCAGCCGAGGCGGGGGCGCAAGTAGGCCGGCGCGGGGGACCCCCGAGATTGGTATCACCTGCCCCATCCCGGCTGCGGCTCCCTCCCAGCGGAGGTTCTGGCCGGCTCGGATCAGGCTTGGAGGGGCTGAGGGAGGGGCTGGACGCGCGCTCTGTCTCCGAGTTGCAGCCTCGACCCCTACCCGCCAGGCCACCCCGCCTCATCCTGGCTGCTCCTGGCGCCCAGCTTGGCAGCAGCTCTCAAAGAGCAATTGTTTCCGGCCGGGCTGCAGCGCGGCTGTCTGGGACCAGGAGGCAGAGCTGGAAAGTGAGGAGTGTGCGGCCCGCTCAGGCTGCGTGGGACCTGGGGTGGAAGGAGGCCAAGGGGGCTGCGGTCTCCTGCTGGGATACTGTGCTGCTGTGTGAGGCGGAGTGGGATCCCTAAGCTCCGGCCAAGGGGCGGCCCCCTGCAGGCACAGCTCCTTCCATCTTCCCGGTTCAGCTGAGAGTGTCGGGTCCTACCTTCTCGCCCCACCCCACCTCCCCGCTTTCCCCTGGCCCCTCAGGACAGGGCTCTGGCCATGAGGAGGAGGAAGAGGCTGAGGCACCAGCTGGGGCCAAGGAGTACGGTGGGCACGGGAGCGGGCAGGGTGGGGTGGGGGCAGGCCACCCTCAGCGTCCCAGGCGCTTTTTGCGGTGTGCGTTGTTAGGGTGGATGTGTGCAAAAGTGTGCGTGGCTGTGTTCGCATGAAGGGGTAGGGTGCATGTAGCCAACTAGGGAGAGATTGCCAAGTGCGCTTTCCTCCACTTGCCAGAGGCTCAGAACTTGGGCTCCAAAGGTCTACATCAGACCTGTCCCCAGGACACCTGTGGTCAGGGCCACCCCAGCTCCTGCAGCTTTCCATGCCCACTGTGACCAGCGTCGCTGGGGGCTGAGGTCTCTCTGCATCAGCTCTGTTTGGGTAGCACAAAGCCACCCTGGTCCTTTTATGGGGTATGTGTGGTGGGATGGGGAGAGTAGGGGCTTCAAGACCTCTAGGTGAGACAGGGGCTTCACAGACACTCAGGGTATAATTAAATGTGGTCTCTAAGGATAGCTACCCTTTCTCCCTCTTCCTTGCTGAGCAGCACAGTCCTTCTCAGCAGCAAGGAAGTCCCTCCAGATCTAACCTGAGCACCCTCTCCTGCAGTCCTGGATAGGGTCTCCCTTCTCTTAACAAAGCTTCAATGACAGCAAGCCCTGCTGTGCTTTCTCCTTCTCCCGGTGGACGGTCCAGGCTCTTTAGACTTTGCTAAGAGAATCTTTCCTGGGATGCGGTTTTCTTTCCAATATTTCCTTCCATGCACACTTTGGTTCTCCTTGCCTCCACACCAAGTGGAGGGAGAGCCAGAGTGCAGAGGAGAGACCAGGCCCAGGGGATCAGTGGCTTTCTTCCTACACAGGTGCCGAAGGTGGGGGAGTGATGACCTTGGAGACTCTGGGTCCAGCCCTAAATCTTCTCGGCAGAAAGCAGGCCCACAGGCTAGGGAGATGGCTCAGTGGAATAAATGCTTGCCTGGCAAGCACAAAGGCCTGAGTTCAATGCCCAGTTCTGCCAAAAGAAGTTGTAGAAAGCAGGCCCACAGAGGAGCCCCGCCATGTGTGACCACACCTGTCCATCTTTTTTGTTTGTTTGTTTGTTTTAGCAGAACAGGGATTGAACTCAGGCCCTTGCGCCTGCCAGGGAAGCACTTATTCCACTGAGCCACCTCCCCGGCCCCAACACCTGTCTATCGTCCCCTACCACGGAGCCAGCTCCTGAGTGACAAACTCAGGGATGGTGGCAGCAAGGAGCCCTGGGTTCCAGTTCTGAAGGTAACAGCCATGTGACAGCCACTGTCTTTCTGTTTGTCTCTCCAGTCAAAGAATGAGGCTGCCCTAAGTGGATCCCTTGGTCCCGAGAGTCTGGGCCTTGAGGTGCTGTCTGCAGGTGTTCTGCGGGTGCCCTCCCTCCAGCTCGTGGAAGCTCAAGCAGCTGGAGCAGGAAGGCAAGCAGGCTCCATCTCACTAATCACCGAAGAACAATAGTGGTAATAAAACCCCTTTCTAGGGACCCGTCTTGCAATTTAGCACCAGGCTCTGTTTATGGAATTTTTTAATATTAATTTTTAAAGCCAACTTAAAAGAATAATGTGAGATTTAAATTAGCATGAGAAGGCTTAGTAAAAGGAGAATCGTCTGCCATTTGTTTCTATGGAAAGTTTGGCAACACCCCAAGTGCATAGACACACACACGCATGCACACACACACACACACACACATCTCTATATAGACACAAAGCATGTACATGGAGGTGGATGCACATGTGAATGCTCCAAAACCCATCCCTATGAATGTCCTCTCCTACAGCTCCTGTGTCCACAAGAATGCACACACATGTACAGCTCCACACCCACCTGCACCCACACCAGCCCCAGCCCCCACTGGGCATCTGACCCGCAGCTGCCGCCTGCTTATTCCTTTTCTGTCTCGCCTGGTCTCTGCAAGTCTAGGGAAATCCATTCCGCATCTGGATTTAGCACAGCCCAACTACTTGGCTCTTGATCCAAACATCTGGAGCAGCCTCCAGGTGTCCCTGAGTAATGCATCTTTTCCTCCTTCCTCCTCCCCTGCCAGGAGTGAGCCCCTCTTCTCAGAGGCCCCCAAAGCCTAGCACCAGTACGTTTAGTATGCAAAACCCGGATCTGTCCTCTGGGACAAGCCTTTATGTGTTTATTGTGTAGTTAAGCAGGACGGGAGCCCTGCCCCCACTCAGTCTAGTGCTGGCCCTGTTCCCATAATCTGAGCTCCAGAAGGGTCCCATAAAGGCATCATCTGCAATGCAAAATGAGCAAAATGACTGGGAGGGGCTGTGGGTCTTCTCCAAGTCACCTGTGCCCTAATTTAATATGAATAACAATTAGTTTACTCTGATGGTGAATGGACCCCAGTTCTGTCTGCCCCGGGCGCTCTTTCACTGGGACCTTTGGCCTACTCCAGGCTTGTGGTGCTCCTAACCAGGCCAGTCTCTCCAGGGTTGAGAACTCCAGGGAGTCACAGCTGAGCTGCCGGCAGTGCCAGCGCAGCAGCCCCAGCCCCGGCTGCTGTCTTAGGCATGTGCTTGCTGTGCCTTCATTGTAGGGAGCTCTGACATCCTCTGTCCTCCAGCCTGGATTTTGCTGATGAGAACAGAAAGGCCCAAGGCCGAATCCACCACCACACAGCCACTGTGCTCAGCTCCCGCTGCCCAGTGTGGACACAGATGCTTCCATGAGCGTACACCAGGCACCTCAGAGGGTGCTAGGAACACTGTCCCCTGCCCACTCCTGCTCTGGCTCTAAGTGGTGGTGCACATGTGGGTGACTGAGATTGGGGCTCTGAAGGTTCTGCTCTAAGCTTTGGATCTTAGCACATCCTTGTTCGCCCATTGCAAGCTGGAGATGGCTGTTTCATCACAGGGCCTCCCGGGGCCTTTGCTGCCCTGCCTCTTTCCCTGCCTTCTCTCTCCTCTCAGTGCTCTGGAAGGGTGTAGCTGTGTGGCCCAGATTAGGGTGTCAGTTAATGGCCCTACGCTTGGCTTTCTGCAGCTGAGGGTGCCTCTGAGTCTCTTGCTCCTTCCCAGTCTCCTCTGATTCTCAGAGATCCCAGGCAGGGAACAGTTTTCCTCTGAATCCCACAGTACTAAATTCTGAACCCTGCTGTGGGCTCTTTGTGTGTGCATGCTTGTGTTTATTTCAAAATATATATTTAGCTCCTGTCATATGCAAGGGAGAGAGAGAGAGAGAGAGAGAGAGAGAGAGAGAGAGAGAGAGAGAGAGAGAGACCCATTAGAAGAGTCAACTTCGATTGGGCCCTCTCTATAGGCCAGGTGTTCTAAGCCTCCATGAGCTTTCTCTGATTTCCTAATGGCAACATAACGTAAGGGCTTGTTTACGAGGTATGGGGATGGTTGCTATTACAACTTCCATTTTTTAGGTCGGCAATCTGGGGCATATTGTTTAGGTAACTTAACCAAGGTTATTGCTTGGTAAGCGACAGACTTGGCCTCTGATCAGGCGACTGAGTGGCTTGGCTCCTCAGCTGAGTGCTCCCTTGGGGCTGATTGCAGGTGGGAGCCAGAGACAGACACACAGGTCACTCACGGAGATCAAACGAGACAGACTGGACTGAACCAGGCCACGGGGGAGAGAGTACCTGGGAGGAGGCCCAGGGAAGACATCCTGGAGGAGGCCACCCAGAGAGGAGGCTGCAGCAGGGCTGGGGTTGGTGGTGCTAGGAGGGTGGGGCCCAGGCAAGCGGACCACAGTGGCACAGCGAGGCTGCTGCGTGGTGAGTGAGGACGGAGCACGCCTGTGTGGGGCAGGCGTCCTCTCTCCCCATTGCGAAGACTCTTGTGCAGGACTGGCCTCAGGCACTGGTGTCTTCTAGGGAGAAGCTGTTCAATAAATATGATGGATGCAGTTGTTTAATCTCCTGACTAACTGCCTTGCACAGCCAAGCTGCAGGGCAGACATGGGCTCCTCACATTTCTTTTCTGGACTTGGAAGACATGACCAACAAGTTCGGAGACTTCCCTCATGGGTGCTTTGGCTTCGTTTGTTTTTCTTTTTCATTCACCCCTCCCCATTTCTCTGAACTTAGTTTGACTGAAAATATAGAAATGAAATACGAGCTCTGGCTTCCAGTCCACGGCCCGCTCGGGCTCCAGACGTGAGTGTCTGTTTTGTCATCTTCCTTTCTCCCGTGTGCCCGCACTGCTTGCTTCTGAGGAAGTGGGAGCCAGGCAGAGGCCAGGTTGCTGGGAGGCTTGTGGGGACCTGG